CGCCCGGCTTCCTGATTGGCCAGCCCCCGACCAATTAGGAAGCCGGGCAGCGAGTCATTACACGATGTCCGGCTTCCTGATTGGCCGGGAAGCCAGCTCCATGCTGCCTCGTCATCAGGTGAATAGAGAGATCATGAAGCCGGCTTTTCGGCCAATCAGAAAGCCGGGCGCCACATCATTACACGGCAGCCGGCTTCTGATTGGCCAGCTTCCCCGACCAATCAGGAAGCCAGGCACCGAGTCTTTACACGCTGTCCGGCTTCCTGATTGGCCATGCTCCCTCATCACAAATAAGCCGGCTCCATGCTCCTTCGTCACAAGTAACGAGGGAGCATGGAACCGGCTTCCCGGCCAATCAGGAAGCCTGGCATCGTGTAATGACTCCCTGCCCCGGTGTTCTATCGAAAGCTCCAACTCATCGAGATCTCCAACTACCTCACTGTAGGGTACTTGCAAGTTGGAGATTTCGCCCAGACGGCGTTAGACTGCAAAACACAAAGACTGACGGAGCTTCTGTACAGCCGCATTTTAACAATATTCAGCAGGTGGCAAACTCGACGAGTATTCTGAAAACGCTCTGCGCGCATGTGCACCGCCACTGTACAGAGCTCCGGTCTTTCTGAGCACCGGAAGTGAGTTAGTTGGAGATCTCGATGAGTTGGAGCTTTTCGATAGAACACCGGCTTCCTGATACCGGATGTATCGGGCTAGGCATCGGAGCATTTAGGCAAGTACAAGTACTCGCCCCAAATACTCGGCACCGATACCGATACTAGTGTCGGTATCGGTGCATCCCTAGTGAGCATGCATAGAGCTCATCAGCAGCTACCAACACATTCAGAGCTGTGGCCTGGGGTCCCTTCCTATGTGAGGGTAGTTGCTTTTGAGTAGCATGGCAAGAGAAACTGGGCAGGGCTGACACCACTCAGCCTACAACAGGAAATTAGGAGCTGGGCACATTTCTGGCAGAGCAGCAAGTCATGTTCTGTACCTGAAGGGTCATTAAAGGGACACACCATGGGGAAGTAGGCATGCATTGCAGAGATTCCCCTTCCTATTTGTATACGCTGCAAGGAGGAAGGAACAGACTGGTAGCCAGTAAGATTGTAAACATTTATTGTTCCAATTCATTTACAGTATTGTACATTTTTCATCCGATATGAAAATAATTTAGCAAACCAAAAACTAGAGATCAACCGATAGAATCATCTACCTTCTCCTTATGTACAATGCCGCGATAGGTCAATCTTTCCAGACTTTGTACAGTCCTACGAGAGGTGAGAGAGAGAACTTAAACGCGGGGTCAGGAGAGAGCTAACTACAGAGCGGGCCAGTAAGAGTTGATCATGAGGTGGACGGTGGGACCCGGAATAGGAGACATGCTGACTTCACCTGGAG